TTCAAATTGACCTAAAATTTGTAAATTTAGGTCTAAATGGACATAAGTAACTGTATTATAAATAATACGAATAAGGAAACTGTTAAATTTATTTACTTTTAATTATAACAGTTTTCATATTTTTTATTCGACTGTTAAAATTGACCTAAAATTTTAAAATGTAGGTCAAAATAGAATAAAATAAGAGTATTAAAAATAATGGTAACAAGAAAATTATTAAATTTATTTATTTGCATTAATAAAAATTTTCCATATTTTTTATTCAACTGTTAAAATTGACCTAAAATTTATAAATTTAGGTCAAAATGGAAAAAAATAACTGTATTATAAATAATAAAACTGTTAAATTTATTAACTTTCATTTATAACAATCTTTCATATTTTTAATTCGACTGTTAAAATTGACCTAAAATTTGTAAATTTAGGTCAAAATGGATCAAAATAACTGTATTATAAATAATATGAATAAGAAAACTGTTAAATTTATTTACTTTCAATTATAATAATTTTTAAAAGTTTTTATTCGACTGTTAAACTTGACCTTAAAGTTTTAAAATGTAGGTCAAAATAGAAAAAATTAGAGTATTATTAATGATGGTAGTAAGAAAACTGTTAAATTTATTTATTTGAAATTGTAACAGTTATTCATATTTTTTATTCGACTGTTAAAATTGACCTAAAATTTGTAAATTTAGGTCAAAATGGACAAAAATAACTCTACTATAAATAATATGAATAAGAAAACTGTTAAATTTATTTCCTTTCAATTATAACAATTTTTAAAACTTTAAATTCGACTGTTAAACTTGACCTAAAATTTTAAAATGTAGGTCAATATAAAAAAATAAGAGTATTATTAATGACGGAAATAAGAAAACTGTTAAATTTATTTATTTGCAATTATAACAGTTATTCATATTTTTTAAACAACTGTTAAAATGGACCTAAATTTCAAAATTAGGTCAAATTTTGATTTTACATAAGTAAAATAGTTTTCAAATTTACGTGAAACGTTATTGTTCGTCTAACACTTACGATCGATATACGAAAAAAATACAAATTTAGGTCAAAAATTAGATTCGTAGGTAAATAATATAAATTTTTAGGTCAAATTTGCAGGTATAAAGTTGTAGATTATTTTTACATTTAGGTAAAACTACAAATGGTCGTAAGCAACTTATTTTTAAATAAGGTCACAATCCCATGAAATTTACAAATAAATTTTCATTGGTCAATGTAGGTCAAATTAAATCCATATGTGTAAATTTAGGTCAAACTTCTGTTAAACTAGGTAAAATTAAGTCAAATAAAATTATCTACAAATTAATACTAAAATTTACAAATTGATATCCAATCAAAACTTTACATATTTAGGTCCATTAGGTCAATTAAGCCAATATGAGTTTATTGCTGATCGATTTTAGGTCAAATGAGGTCTAATAGGTTGAACAAAACTTTGAAGAATTAAATCATAAATGTCATTGTAGATAAATTAGATCAATAATGCTAAATTTAGGTCAAATTTAGGCCAATTTTAAGTCAAATTAGGTCGAGTAGGTCGAAGAAAATTTTGGTTTAGGTCTATAACCAGAAATGTAATTGTAGGCAAAATTAGGACAATTGCTTTAAATTTAGGTCAACTTGAGGTCAATTTTAGGACAATTTTAATTCAAATTAGGTCGAATAGGTCGAAGAAAACTTTGGTTTAGGTCTATAACCAGAAATGTCATTGTAGACAACATTAGGACAATTTTGCTAAATTTAGGTCAACTTGAGGTCAAATTTAGGTCAATATTAAGTCAAATTTTCCGTAAAAACTATAAATTACTGTACAAATTGAGATATAAAAATTTATAAAATTGATGTATTTGGGTAAAGTTACAAATTCTGGTCAAAAAGGTAAAAATAACTTTTTTAGGTCAAAATAAATGTCAAAAAGATAAAAATAATTTTGTAAATTAAAATAAAGGTCAAAAAGGTAAAAATAATTTTCTAGAGCAAAATAAAGGTCCGAAATGCAAAAATAATTTGTTTAGGTCAAAATAAAGGTAAAAAAGGTAAAAATATTTTTGTTAGGTCAAAATAAAGGTCAGAAATGGAAAAATAATTTGTTTAGGTCAAAAATGTAATAATAATTTGTTTAGGTCAAAATAAAGGTCAAAAGGTATAAATACTTATGTTAGGTGAAAAAAGGTCAAAAAGGTCAAAATAATTTTTGTAGGTCAATTTAAACTTAATTCAAGGCTAATAATTGTTAATTAATATTGAATTAAAATTATTTTTTTTTCTATTACCTAAAACTTAATATTTTGTAAATGTAATTTAGTTTTACTCTAATTAGATACGTGTCTAGCCATCCAACATTAACTTGATCATCGATACTACATAGTCATAAAGCGACTAATGACCGGATATGTGCATTAGACTACATACATGACACTACTGCTTCTCATTGATCATATATAACTAGAGACGTGTGGCGTACGTTAAACTGATACTCGTATTTATTACTTGTCATACATCAGCAGCAGTATCAAATTACCTCTTCTCTTCTCCTCTCCCCCCCTTTCGCCATGCTGCGCCTTCACTCCCCCCCCCCTCAAGCCACCTTATCCACCCCTTTAAATCACCCAATGAAATTACAATTGTAGAAATTAACTAATTAGAAAATTAATTATCGTTACATTATAGAGCTTCATTTTCCATTACGTTGGGAATTAATTTTCGTTATATTAAAAATTGTTTATTTTTTAAAAATCTTGTAAAAATAGTGATGGTAATTCATTAAAATGTAAAATTTAGTGAAAGAAGTATTTTTTGCAAGTTTATTTAGTGTAAAAATCATATTCTAGAAGTTTTTACATAAAAATAAAAAAAAATTTATAATAGCCTCGGGGATAATGTAATGGACTGTTAATTTGAGAACATGGTTTCGACTCCCGTTGGGGGAGATTTTTTTTCCTACTAAATTCGTTAAAATTAACGGAAAACTTTAAACTTGTAATTAATTTTCGATAAATTAAAAATTATTTTCTTACCGAAATTATCTAAAAATGATTATGCTAGTTGTCAAAATTGTAAAATTGAGAAAAGATAAATTTTTTAAACGATTATTTACAGTAAAAATTACATTTGAGAAGTTTTGACGTAAATATTTAAAAAAAAATTTGTCAATAGCCTCGAGGACAGTGTAATGAACTGTTAATTTGAGGACTTGGTTTCGACTCCCGTTGGGGGAGATTTTTTTTCCTACTTTTCTCCGTTTTATATTACTTTCTACAGTGAACAGAAATTAAAAAATTCCATTTTTAATAAAAAAAAATAAATTGATTTCCTGATTTCAAAAATTTATTTTCGTTTTTTTTTACTAATTACGGATTTATAATTTATAATTACTGATTTATAATATTAATTTATATTTGTAATTTAATTAAGAACTTTAAAGAGAATGTTTGTATGAATGTACAAAGTTAGGAAAATTCGTTAAAATTAACAAAGAATTAAAACTGAAAATTAAATTTCAAAAGAAAATTGAAAATTACTTTCGTAGAAATTATATAAAAATAATTATGGTAGTTCTCTAAATTGTAAAATTTAGAAAAAATATATTTTTTATAAGTTTATTTAGTGTAGAAATCATATTTAAATAGTTTTGTCGAAGTGACAAAAATAATTGACAATAGCCTCGTGGATAAGTTAATGGACTCTGAATTTGACAACTTGGTTTCGAATCCCGTTGGGGAAGATTTTTTTTCTCTTTTCTCCGCTTCATTCAAAAATTTATTTTCCGTTTTTTTTTAAATAATTTATTACTAATATTTTTTACTAATTTATTAGTTTTGTAATTTTATTAAAAACTCGAAATAAAGAACAATTTTTGTAAAGTTTATGAAAAAGTAATAGTTTTCTAAATTAAAAAAATATATATTTTGGTGTAGTGGAAAAGTCTCTTGTTTAGTAATTCAAAAACTCGGATTCGATTCTTGTTGGCAAAAAAAATTTTTTTTTTCTATGGAGTCGTAAAATTAGTTGGATTAAGAAAAGTGAAATATTTCATTCTATATTTAAATATATTACAAGGGAAAAACAAGTGAAAGTAATTATCGATTGATAAATTTTTTTATATTGATAGACAAAATAAATAAAGAGCTTTAATTATTTTCCTGTAGCTATTATGGGAAACCCACTCACTCTGTTATATTACATTTGTGTGTGAAAGCACTCTACAACAACTTGTATGTGTGTTGGATGGCTTTTCAATTATCCCCTCCCCTTTTACCCTCCCCCCTCCACTCACATCCTTTGTACATAACACACATGAACATATGCAAGTACATACAATAATTCCCTCTCAATGTCAATCTCAAACATAGACATAAATCAGAAAATTAATTATTATTTAATTAATAATGTTTATACAGTCACTGTCGAAAAGTGTTTGAAAAGAAGTTTTTGTTAAAGAAAAAGAAATTATATAATTTAGAATTATTTATAATTGCATGATAAAAATATTATATAATTATAATGCTAAATAATATTTCAACTTGAAATTATGTAGAAAACTTATAATTTTCGGTTTTAGTGTTAAAATTCAATGACATTGTCGTATTGGTCAAGTGGATAAGTTGATGTTTTGATATTTTGACAGCTAGGGTTCGATTCCCGGGAAAAGTCAGTTACTTTACTATCAGTTTTTTTTATTTCTTCTTCTTTTTTTTTACTTCTTTATAAAAATAAAAATGTATTTATTTATTTAGAAATTTTATTTAGAATATCAATTTAAAAAAATTAAAATTAAAAAAAATGAACACAGAAATAAACATAAAATTTTACATAAATAAATCTGCAATGTACACAAACTTTTATTTCAATTGTATTTTAATGTTATTTCTACAAAATAACTCGAATGCACTTGCAACTATTCCATTGGCTAGGAGCTCATTAAATTCTACATTATCTTTAAAGCACTGTTTATACTTTCGAAAAATATACAGAGACACTTGAAATAAAAAATCATTTCGACGTGGCATTTTGTCTATATTCTAAAACGTGGCATTAATCAAAGTTTTTAACAAAAAAAAGACTGAAGAATAAACGATGATTTACGCATGTAATCATCTTTTTGCCTTTATTGCATTAATCGCATTAACAGTAAAGGTAAAATTAAACGTTTTAAAATTATAATTTAACCAAATAATAACAGGGTTGTCACAAACATTTAATTTTGTTTTCCCTGATTTCCAGAAAGAATTTTAACTTTTTCCCTGACCCTAAAGAATATTCTGATTTACTTATAAAAATTATTAAATACTCAAAAAAATGTTCATATATTTATTTAGTTTCATTGTAAAATTATTCGAAGACATCAATAACTTCTTTTTTAAATAAATATTTAATCATTATTATTTTTCCATATGGGAATTAAGATTTTCAAAATTTTAAATTCAAACCTTTATGAAATTCAACAACCTAAGAAAATTATAAAACATGAAAATATTGATCATTCTGAGCCTTCGACTCAGACTGATCGATTTCTTCATGTTTTATAATAATTAAAGATGACTGAATAATAAAATAATTATTTTATATTATAAGAATATTGTTACAATATCTGCTTCCAAATTATTTTCATCATTTCAATTCAATTATTATTTTCTACAATTTTAAAATAAAATTCTTCTTTAAATAAATTATTTTTAATAATTTTTGATAAAGTTCTTTTAAGAATTTTCAAATTCATTTATTTACAATTCAATTTTACATGAAATTTACATTATTCGGAAATTCTCCCACTAAATATGTTTTAGAAAATGAAAACTACAAATTATTTCAAAAAAAAATTTAATTAAACTTTCTCAGAGAAATTAATTCCACAGAATTGTTAATTAAAAGTATGAAAAATATTCAGATTTTCAAAGATTTAAATTTGAAACTTTTTCAAAATTCAATTATTTCTTAAAATTGCAATTACTAGTAAGTAACTTTTTCAAAATTCAATTATTATATGAAACTTTAACAGAAATTAATTTTTAAATCAATTTTTATTAGAAAATTCTACGAGAACTCAATTTGTTTAAATACAAACATTGACAATTTATTGAATAGTTAAATATTTCTTAAAATTTAATTCTTATAGATAATTTTATCAATAAATTTTTAAATAAATGAATTCTTTGAACGAATTTTAATAAAAAATTTTCAAAATAATTACTATTTTCGAGGAATTCGATGAAAATTGTATTAAAAATAATTGAAATTCTTCAATGAGTTTTATTATTTGTGAAAATAATTGAATTATTTGCGAAGAATTTTATAAAAATGTTTTAAACTAATTGACTTTTTTACGAAAAAATTTATGCAAATTCTATTTTTTATAATTGACTTCCTGTGAAATTTTCATTATTTTAGAAAATAATTGAAAATTTGTGTAGAATTTTGGCAAATTTGTTTTTAAATAATGAAATTATTTTGGAAAATTTTATTAAAATAATAGATAGGTATACAAATTATTACAGCAAGAAAATTTTTTGAAAATAATTGAAATTTTGTCATGAATAATGTTATTTATGAAAATAATTGACTTTTTCCGAATTATTTTATTATTTATGAAAATAATTTAATTATTGAGAGGAATTTCATGACAAATTTTAAAACATTTAATTTTTTTCTAAAAGATTTATGCCAATTCTATTTTAAATAATTAAATTCCTGTGGAATTTTTATTTTTTTGGAAAATAATTGAATTATTGTGATGAATAAGATTATTTATAAATATATAAATGAATTTTGCCATGAATATTATTAAAATTCCTGAAAATAATTAAATTTTTTTAAGGAATTTTGCTATTCACTTATAAAGATAATTGAAACGTTGACGACAATTTTTTTTTGTCTTTTTGAAAGTAATTGAATTTCTCATAAGAATCATTAATTTTAAAAATAATTGAATTTTATTACTTTTGAAAATAATTGAAGTCTTTTGATAAATACTATTACTTATGAAAATAATTGAATTTTACAATGAATTTAATTAAAATTTTTTAAAATAATTGAATTTATGTGATAAATATGGGTATTTATAAAATAATTGACTTCCTCCGAATAATTTTATTATTCATGGAAATAATTAAATCCTTGAAAGGATTTTTAAAATTTGTGAAAATAATTGAATTACGGCGAAGAATTCAATGCCAAATTTTCAAATATATGATTTTTTTTTGTTGAAAAATTTACTCAAATTCTAGTTTAAATAATTTAATTCTCGTGAAATTTTTATTTTTTTGTAAAATAATTGAATGTTCGTGTAGAATTTTCCCAAAATTTTTGTTTAATAATTGAATTCTTTTGGGAAAATTAATTAATATAGTAGAATAATGAAAATCATTGATTTAAGAAAATTTTTTAAATATAATTGAATTTTATTACTTTTAAAAATAATTGAAGTCTTGTGAGGAATACTATTATTTAAGAAAATAATTGAATTTTACAATGACTTTTATTACAATTCTTGTAATGAATATTGTTATTTATCAAAATAATTGAATTTTACAATGAATTTTTTTTATTTAAATTTCCTGAATATAATTGAATTTCGGCGAAGAATTTTGCTATTTATAAAGATAATTGAAATGTTGACGAGAATTTTTTTTTAATTTTTGAAAATAATTGAATTTCTGAAAGAATTATATTAATTTTCAAAATAATAGAATTTTATTACTTTTGAAAATAATTTGAATTCTTGTGATAAATACTATTATATTTATGAAAATAATTGAATTTTACATTGAATTTTATTAAAATTCATGAAAATAATTTAATTTTGTCGAATAATTTTGCTATTCATTTATAAACATAATTGAAATGTTGACGACAATTTTTTTTAGATTTCTTTGAAAGTAATTGAATTTCTCAGAAGAATCATACATATTAATTTTAAAAATAATTGAATTTTATTACTTTTGAAAATAATTATTGAAGTCTTGTGATGAATACTATTATTTATCAAAATAATTGAAATTTTTACGACAATTTGTTTTAGATTTTTTGAAAATAATTGAATTTCTACGAAGAATTTTATTAATTTTGAAAGTAATTGAATTCTTGTTATGAATATTGCTATTTATGAAAATAATTGAATTTTGCAATGAATTTTATGAAAATTCCTGTATATGCTTGAATTTCGGTGAGGAATTTTATTATTTATAAAGATAATTGAAATATTAACGAGAATTTTTTTTTTAATGTTTGAAAATAATTGAATTTCTGCAAAGAATTTTGATAATTATTAAAATAGTTCAATTCTTTCAAAGAATTGGTTTAAAATTTTTTTAAATTATAACTAATTTCAACTAAATTGAAATTAAAATTTTCTTCATTAAATGATTTATAAGCAATATCTTTATGGCAGTTCTTCAATAGAATTAAGTTATTTTAAATATAAATTATTGTCAGCAATGGAAAAAATTGAATGTTTTTTTAGAATTCGTAGTAATTTCATAGTTTATTAGTCAAACGAAAGTACACAAAAATTCAGAATTTTCTTATAAATTCTAAACATTTAATTTTTTCCAGTACTTTTAATAAAAATCCCTGACTTTTCCCTAATTTTCCTGATCAATTGTACTTAGCCTGACTTTTCCCCGAATTCCCTGATTTCCCTGACCTGTGGCAACCCTGAATAATGTTAAAAAATATTCTATTTTTTCTTTATTCAAATAATAATAACAAAAAATTTATCAATCAGGCTCAACAATATTTTTCTAATTCAGACGATTATGCAGGTATAAATCAATTTTTTCGTAAACTTTAATTCTTCTTCAAAAGTTGTAGGACAAATAATTTTTTGCTGTCTTTTAAATTACTTAATTGTGAAAAATTAATTAATAATTAAATTACTTTTTAAATGTAAGTAATAATTGTGTATATTTAAAATTTTTAGAAACAGAAAGTGAACTGGTTTCTGTTGAACATTCAATTCATGGAAGAAGTTTACCTAAAATTGTTATTAACATAACAAGCAGAGGCATTGAAAGGGAATTTATTTTACAGTCATCAGATGGTTTTTTTGCTGGTAGGGATACAAAAATTTGGGTTGCAAGAAATAGAGGAGGCAAATTAAAGTATACACTGCAAAGGAATGTAAGTAAATAAATTTGGGTTAAGAATTTTTTTGAAGTAAGCTTCTTTAAAGTAAATAAGCAAAAGTAAAGAATTTTTTGAATATCTACTCATATGTATATAGTTATTATAAGAAAAAATTTTCCATTAAGTTCGTATATTTTTTTAAAAAATTCCATTCCTTGTAGATTATGGAGAAAGTGAATATTACATTTTATCACGATGTTAAAACAATGTCCGCAATAACACACACTGTAAATAAAGATGGTAATTCAGAATTCGTAAGTAATGTCGAATCTCTAAATATTTATAGTGACGAAAGGGATAGGGAATTATCATTTAAGCTAAAGGAATGACTTTGATTTATGTCATCATGTATAATATCAGAAAACTTTAGTTCAGTGTTTATAAAAATTATTTTATTTATTTTTTATAAAAATAATTTTCCATTTTAGAATGGTGTTATTGATTCTAACAAAATAATACGATCGTTAAATAATCACGATCGCAAACGTCGAGATGTTTCATCAAAATTACAGTACGAATCAGCAAACAATGATAGCAAGAACTATCACCTACTTTATAAACGAGATGCATCTTCACCGAACCATAATAACTACTACCAAACTACTTATGATAGGAATAACGATTATCAGCAGAAAAAGGATTATTCTATAAATATTCCAAAAATTGTCTATCCGGAAATTTTAGTCTTTGTAGATAAAACAGTGTTTGAGTATATGTTCCAACTTTATGTAACTTTTTAAACTTAATTTTTAATTAAGAGTTCTCAATGCATGCTTACTTTTTCCAGATATCATAAAAAAGATATTGAAAAAACAACCGCTTATGTTTTAACTATTTTCAATGGAGCAGATCTTTATTATAGAGACATGGACGAACCCTCAATTCGTTTAAGCATTGCTGGAATTGTTTTGTGTGAGGTACTTGTCATTTCTTTAAAAAAAGAATAGATATAATATTTTTATATTTTATACACTATTTTTCAGAAAGGTTACAAAGTCAAACTCAAAAAGTTTCTTTGTAAACTTCCTGTAAACTCTAAATGAACCCCGAATGCAATATTCCGGTGAAAACAACCGTCAAAATTTCCACTGGGAACTTGTAGAAAGGTTTTTACAGTAAGTTTCTACAAATGTTGTAGCAAGCTGTTAAAAAAATTTTTTTCAAAAATATTTCACTTCTCTTTATTATTAGAAAAATTCTTCGCCGAAATTGAATTATTATGAGGAACTTCAATAAAATTGCAAAACTTAATTATTTTTATACATAACAATATATTATTTATCACAAGAATTCAATTATTTTCAAAATTAATTCAAATTAATTTTCAAATTATCTTTATATAAATGAATAGTAAAATTCTTAATAAATAATATTAATAATTCCCAAAGGAATTCAATTATTTAAAAACAATTTTGACAAAGTTTTACACAAAACTTCAATTATTTTAATAAAATTTCCCAAAAGAATTGAATTATTTAAAAACAATTTTTACAAAATTCTACACGAATATTCAATTGTTTTTTTAAATTAATTAATTTCACAGGCATTCAATTATTATTAAAAATAAAAGTTGGCTAAATTTTTGAAAAAAAAGTCATTTATAGGTAATATAAATGAATATCAAAATTCTTCAACAAAATTCAATTATTTTCAGGAATTTTTATAAAATGCATTGTAAAATTAAATTATTTTCATAAATAATATTATTCCGCAAAAATAATTCAATTATTTTCAAGAGTAATACAAATTCAATTATTTAAAAAAATTTTTCTTAATTCAATGATTTTGAATATTCTAACATTTTTATGAAATTTCACAAAAGAATTTAATTATTTATTAAAAATTTTGGAAAAATTCTACACGAACATTCAATTATTTTTTAAAATAATGAAAATTTCAAAGGAATTCAATTATTAAAAATAGAATTTGTCTAAATTTTTCCCAAAAAAGTCAATTATTTGAAACTTTTTTTTATAACATTGTTCACAATAATTCAATTATTTTCATAAATAACAATATTCATCACAAGAAATCAATTATTTTTAAAATAAATCAAATTCATCGCAGAAATAATTCAATTATCTTCAAAAATTGTCAACATTTCAATTATCTTTATAAATGAATATCAAAATTCATTGACAAAATTCCATTATTTTCAGTAATTTTAATAAAATTCATTGTAAAATTTACTTATTTTCAACAATGTTTCTTAATTCAATGATTTTATATTTTTATAAAATTTTCCAAAAGAATTCAATTATTAAACAAAAATTTTGATAAAATTCTACACGTACATTTAATTATTTTCCAAAAAAAAATTAAAAATTTTACAGGAATTCAATTATTTAAAATAGAATTTGCACAAATTTCTTTCGAAAAAATCAAATCTTTTAAAATTTGTCAATAATTCAATTATTTTCTTAAATTTTAAAAATCCTTTCAGGGATTTAACTATTCTTATAAATAATAAAATTATTCTCAAAAAGTCAATTATTTCAAAAAAAAATTCAATTTTTTTTCAAAAATTTTAATAAAATTTATTTCAAAATATCAAATAATTTCAAAATTTTTTCTTAATTCAATAATTTGTATATTTATTATTTTAATTAAATTTACCAAAAGGATTGAATTATTTAAAAACCATTTTGACAAAATTCTACATGAATATTTAATTATTTTCAAAAATAAATAAAATTTTATAAGAATTCAATTATTAAAAATAGAATTTGCACAAATTTCTTTCGAAAAAATCAAATGTTTTAAAATTTGGCAATAATTTATTCGAAATAATTCAATTATTTTCTTAAATTTTAAAAATCCTTTCAGGGATATAATTATTTTTATAAATAATAAAATTATTCTCAAGAAGTCAATTATTTCAAAAAAAAAAAAATCAATTTTTTTCAAAAATTTTAATAAAATTTATTTCAAAATATCAAATAATTTCAAAATTTTTTCTTAATTCAATAATTTGTATATTTATTATTTTAATTAAATTTACCAAAATCATTCAATTATTTAAAAACCATTTTGACAAAATTCTACATGAATATTAAATTATTTTCAAAAACAATTAAAATTTTATAAGAATTCAATTATTAAAAATAAAATTTGCATTAATTTTTTTAAAAAAGTCAATTGTTTGAAACTTTTTTATAAAATTCTTTTTAATTTTAATTTAATTATTTTCATAAATAATAAAACTCATTGCAGAATTTTAATTAGTTTTAATAAAATAACTTGAATCAAATTCCTGGAAAAATGTAATTATTCTTGAAAATTTTATTAAAATTCGTCGAAAGAATTTAATTATTTAAAAATTTGTTTATAAAATTATACGTATAAGAATTCAATTTTAATAAGAAACATTCAATTATTCAATAAATTATCTATGTTTGTATTTAAATAATTAAATTCTTGTAGAACTTTCAAATAAAAATGTATATATACCTATAAATTAATTTCAATTTAAGTTTCAGGTAATAATTGAATTTTGGAGAAGTTACTAAATAATTGCAATTTTTAGAAATAATTGAATTCTGTTGAATTAATTTTTTTGATTAAGTTTAATTAATGTTTTTTTTAAAATTATTTTCTTCACTTTCTAATATACATAGGATTTCATTGAAGAATTTCCAAATAATTGAAATTTCGTAAAAATTTAATTGTAATTAATTTTCCAATATAATTAAAGAAATTCGTAAATTAAAAAAGTGAAAATTTTCTTTGAAAATCAGGGAAAAATAAAATTAAATGTTTCTGTCAATCCCGACTGTAGAAACTTTCTACAAGATACCTGTGGGTAAATTTTTAAGAAAATTGTCATCGAAATATTGCATTTGGAGGACATTTAGAATTTACAGAATGTTTACAAACTTTACTTTGTAAACTCTGTTGTAACTAAATAATAGGAAAAATTTTCAACTTGAGCTCTCACTTTGTGTTAGTTGTCAAATTTTTGCTTTAATATTTGAATCTGATAGAAATTTTTACTTCTCTAAAGGATCCAATAAATACAGGAACGTTGAACGGAAGTAGTTTCAATGAATTTGTCGCGACGGATTTTGGAAAATTTCTATATAGAGAAAAACAATTTCGAATAACAATTGATTACGATGCTGTTGTTTATATATTTAATCCAAGTGATAAACGCGGATCGAAAGGTCACATTCTTTAATTTAATTTAAAATTATAATTATACTTGTTTTGATATATCATATTAATAATAAAAATTATTATAAAAAAAGATTATTTATTATATATTGAGAAAATGATTTATTTGATTGAAACAAGTTTTGCTCAAATCATACTTGAAACATCTTTTCTAAAGGCGAGTCAAACATATTTAAGCTTAATTGAAACATTTTCTTTTTGGTTCATTTAAAGAAGCATATATAATGCATAAAATTATTGCATTAAACGTAAATTAAAAAATTTTTAGGCGTTGCAGACATGGCATCGGTTTGTCAAGTTTTAGTAGAATTAGAGATGGTATTATCACTGGCTGTTATTACAGATACAGGAAACCTTGATGGAATTCGTATTGCTGCACATGAATTAGGTCATTTGTAAGTTTAGGACTGCAATATCAGTTTAGCTGATTTAGAAAAAAAAATTCTATTGTTATAGAAATTAAAGTATTTTAGTAGAATGGTATTTACTTTTTTTACACTATAAAAAAAAGGTTCTAAATTAGAGCTGATTTCGGTACTAAAATAGAACCAAATTACGATTTAGTACCATTTTTGGTACTAAATTAGTACCTACCTTTCTTTTTACAGTGTAATTTATAATATTTTACTGATTCTTTTTTAAGATTTGGTGCTGATCATGATATCATACCGAAAAAAGTGTGTTGTTTTAAGAAAGGCTTTGTTATGAGTTATAACATATACGACCAGAATCAATTTTTCTTTTCTCCATGTTCCAAAGAATATATTAAATGGTATTTGAGGTTTGTACTCTTTAATTTTTCAGTTTATGCAAAATACAGGCTTTACAGGTGCACCTAAAAAGTATTTTAGGAGAAATAGGGGACTACACGGAGAGAAATTTATAGTAGTGGGTAACATAATTGTGGTTAGGGTGACCATCTTTAATGCTACGTATACAGACAGCTATCTAGATAGTCACCGTTACCATCAATATCATCAGGAGTAACATCTTGGTAGTAAGGGGTAGCATAACTATATTTTTTTTAGCATCTGTGATGGTTGGCAGTAGCATAATGATAGTATCGTGTAACATCATCTTTTTAACATCAAAATCTGACTATCCATTTCTCTCAGTGTAAAAATTAAAAAAATAGGGGACTTTTAGGGGACCATAAAAATTGGTCAAATAAAGATAAAAATATAATTTATTTATACCAGCACGGAGAGAAAAATCAATCGTTTATAGCATGAATGCTTTGTATTTTAAAAGTATGAAATGTTAGTATACTATGACTGCAAGAAAGTATACTGCGATTGCAAGAATCCTATGCTTTTTCGGTATTAGACCCTTGCAACTGGCTATTAGGCCACGCCCAGAGCCTGGGCCGACCAATCACATTGCAGAAAACTTTTACCGAAATCGCATAGGTTTCTTGCAATCGTAGTATGAAGAACTTCATGCTAAAAAGCCCAGATATTTCTCTCCGTGAGGGTTGCTAGTAAAATTTAACTTTATTTTTCCCTTACTTTTTCCCGATTTCTAAACACAACTTTCACTTTTTCCCTGACCCTATAAAGAATATTCTGATTCACTCATAAAAATTATTAGATACTCAAAAAAATGTACTAGTACATTTATTTACAAATTTATTCAAAAAGTAAAATTATTCGAAAACATCAATATTATTTAAATAAAAAAATAAATAATATTGATTGTTTCTTAAAATTTAATTTTTACAAAGAATTGTATTAACAACTTTTGAAAATATTTAATTTCTTTTAAGGAATTTAATTAAAATTTTAATGAAATTTATTATATTAAAGAATTTTATAACAATTTTTGAAAATAATTGAAAACTTTTTGAAGAATTTTATTAAATTTTTTAAAAATAATTGAATTTCTGAGAAGAATTTAAATAATAATTTTTTAAAACAATTGAATTCATGAGAAGAATTTTTAAAAAATTTTGAACATAATTTAATTTCTGCAAAGTATTTCATTATTTTTCAAAAGAATTGAATTATTCTTGTGATGAATTTTGATATTTATCAAAAATAATTGAATTTTGGAAAAGAATTTTATTCAAACTCCTTAGAATAATTAATTTTATAGGAAGAAGTTATGCGATTTTGTTGTTTATTAAGCTCATTGAATTCTTTTTGCAAAAATAACTTAAAAATTTTTGAAAATAAATGATTTTCTGCGACGAATTAAATATGTTATTTATAAAAATATTAAAATTATTGCAACGAATTTTATTGTCTTATTGAATAATTGAATGTTTCTTAAAATTGAATTCTTTCCTCAAGTTTTAATAAAACTTTTAATAATAATTGCATTTTTCAAGGAATTAATTCAAAATTTTATTAAAAATATTTGAAATTCCGCGATGAAAATAATTGAATTCGTAAATGAAATTTTATTGTTTATGAAAATAATTGAATCTTTTCGTAGAATTGTATCAAAAAGTTTTTTCTATAATTAAATTTGTTGATAAATTTTTTTGAAAATAGTAAATATTGAAAATTATTGAATTGCAAAAAAATTTTTTGAAAAAATTGAATTTTAAAATGAATTTTATTAAAATTTTTGAAAATAATTGAATTATTGCGAATAACTTTATAAAAAAAAGTTTCAAACAAATTGATAACTTTTTTCGAAAACAATGATGAAAAATCTATTTGCAAGTATTTAATTCTTGTGAAATTTTTATTTTTTTTTAAATAATTGAATGTTCATGTAGAATTTTATCAAAATTTTTGTTTAATAATTAAATTCTTTTGGGAAATTTTATGAAAATAAAGTATTCAAAATCATTAAATTAAGAAAAAATTTTGAAAGTACTTAAATTTTTGAAAATAATTGAATTATTGCAAACAATTTTATAAAAGAAATTTCAAAAATTGAGATACATAGTACGAAAAAAATGTATGCAAATTCTATTTGTAATAATTGAATTCCTGTGAAATTTTTATTATTTTAAAAAATAATTGAATGTTCGTGTAGAATTTTATCAAAATTTTTGTTTTATAATTAAATTCTTTTGGAAAATTTTATTAAAGTAATAGATACCTATACAAATTATTAAACTAAGAAAAAAATTGGAGAATAATTGAAATTTTGCAGTGAATTTCATTAAAATTTCTGAAAATAATTGAATTCATGTGATGAATACGGTTATTTGTAAAATAATTGACTTTCTTCGAATAATTTTATTATTTATGAAAATAATTAAATCCTAAAAGGATTTTTAAAATTTATAAAAATAATTGAATTACGGCGAAGAATTTAATGCCAAATTTTAAAAATATTTGATTTTTTTGAAAAATTTACTCAAATTCTAGTTTAAATAATTGAATTCCCGTGAAATCTTTATTTTTTTTGTAAAATAATTGAATGTTCGTGTAGAATTTTCTCAAAATTTTTGTTTAATAATTGAATTCTTTTAGGAAATTTAATTAAAATAGTAGAATATTGAAAATCATTGAATTAGGAAAATCTTTTAAAAATAACTGAATTTTATTAATTTTGAAACTAATTGAAGTCTTGTGATAAATACTATTATTTATGAAAATAATTGAATTTTATTAAAATTCATGAAAATAATTCAATTTTGTAGAATAATTTTGCTATTCATTTATAAACATAATTGAAATGTTGACGACATTTTTTTTAGATTTTTTTGAAAATAATTGAATTATTGCGAATAACTTTATAAAAAAGTTTTAAACAAATTGATGACTTTTTTCCAAAAAAAATTTATGCAAATTCTATTTGTAATAATTGAATTTTGTCAAAATTGTTTTTGAATAATTGAATTCTTTTGGGAAATTTAATTGAAGTAATAGATATACAAATTGTTGAACTAAAAAAAAAATTTGAGAATAATTGAAATTTTGCAATGAATTTTATTAAAATTTTTTAAAATAATTGAATTTATGTGATAAATATGGGTATTTATAAAATAATTGACTTCCTCCGAATAATTTTATTATTTATGGAAATAATTAAATCCTTGAAAGGATTTTTAAAATTTTTGAAAATAATTGAATTACGGCGAAGAATTCAATGCCAAATTTTCAAATATATGATTTTTTTTGTTGAAAAGTTTACTCAAATTCTAGTTTAAATAATTGAATTCTCGTGAAATTTTTATTTTTTTGTAAAATAATTGAATGTTCGTGTAGAATTTTTCCAAAATTTTTGTTTAATAATTGAATTCTTTTGGGAAAATTAATTAATCTAGTAGAATATTGAAAATCATTGAATTAAGAAAATTTTTTGAAAATAATTGAATTTTATTAATTTTGAAAATAATTGAATTCATGTGAGGAATACTATTATTTAAGAAAATAATTGAATTTTACAATGACTTTTATTACAATTATTCTTGTAATGAATATTGTTATTTATCAAAATAATTGAATTTTACAATGAATTTTTTTATTATATTTACTAAATATATAATTGAATTTCAGCAAAAAATTTAATGCCAAATTGTATAAATATTTGATTTTTTTTAAATTCACTCAAATTCTAGTTTAAATAATTGAATTCTCGTGAAATTTTTATTTTTTTGTAAAATAACTGAATGTTCGTGTAGAATTTTCTCAAAATTTTTGTTTATTAATTGAATTCTTTTGAATATTGTTATTTATCAAAATAATTGAATTTTTTAAAGAACTTTATTAAAATTCCTTATATAAAAATTATTGAATTTCTGTGAAGAATTTTGTTATTTATCAAGATAATTGCATTAAAACTTTTGTAATAATTGAATAATATTAAAAAATTCATTCTTGTCAGAAATAGAAAAAGTTTTTGAAGGTTTTGCATTAGAATTTGTGGCAGTTTCATAGTTTACGAGACAAACAAAAAAGACACAAAAAATTCGGAATTTTCTTATGAATTTTATAAATTTCATGAAAAATTTAATCGATCAAAAATTTCAAGATTTTAAACTTTAAAAAAAAAGTTTCCAATTGACAGTTTTATCGGCACTTTGCTAAATTTGGTGTGAATTCATCATTAAAAAAAAAAATTTTGAAATTTTCAAAATAGGGTACGTTTAGGGGCCAAAATTAAAAAAAGGGAACTTTTAGGAAAATAGGGGACAGACTATGTGTAGCCTGATAAATATAATTTTGCGATAAAATTATTTCAAATCTTGAATTGCAATGTTTTTTTCAAAAGATAAATTCTAGTGTTATTTTTAAGTGTAATATTTAATTTTATAATAGTCAAGAAGAAGCGAAGTGCATTCTAAATAATCCAGCTGATAGAAGAAGTGATAATCAAATATTGAGAGTTTTGCCTGGACAATTTATGACATTGGATGAACAATGCCAAAAATCAGGATATACAAGAGCATCTTCGGTATATAATAGTGAATTGTTTACTCCTGCTCTTGTTTTTTTTTTTAAATTTTGTTGATTAATACATTTATTATTTAAATTATTTAAGGTGAATGAAGACATTTGCTTAAGAATAAACTGCATGAAAGGAATTCATTCTATAACTGTAGATGGTGCTGCACTTGAAGGGACTCCTTGTGACCTCGGAAAAGTAAGTTTGAAAATAATCATCAATTTTTTGCCATAAAGAAGAATGACTCATTACCAAACAATATAGTTGATAACCTTAGAAATTTTTTTAAAATTCATTACTTGTATACAGTATTGATAAAATTTAAAATTACAGTTCTGCCTAAGGGGAGAGTGTGTGAATGTTCCATTTAACAATAGTGACAAGAATGAAGATATAAATATTTTATTTCCATTTAAATATCAACCGAGTGGAATGAAAAAAACTGCTGAACAACAATGTGTTAAATATGATTATGAAGTTCCTGTCAAAGTTTGTTGGAAATTTTATTATAAAATATACAATTTTATTCTTAAACTTAGCAACTTATTTTCAAATTTTTTTTTTTTTTTAGTCTTTCTTTGATGTTTGTGAACTAAAGTGCGTGATAAAAACAGATACCGCCTTTTACGTGAAACAGTATAATGCAGATGATGGAACCCCTTGCAAAAACGACGGAGTAAGAGTTGTTAAAATATTTTGACTTCTATTGAATTTTGAATGTTATTTATATTTTTTTTCCTACATTGACGAATTATTTTTTTCAAAACACTTTTTACTAAATAAGCAAGAGTAAACAATACATTTTTAATTCGATAGATCTGTCAAAAAGGACAATGTATAGACGATGATTATCGATTTGCTAATGATTATTGTAAAAAAGCTGGAACAACTGGTTTTAGTAATGTTAGTATTAAAAAAGAATAATAAATTCCTTTTAACTTAAGGTTTCTATTTAAGATTATACAGGGTTGCCACAAACATTTAATTTTGTTTTTCCCTAATTTCCAGAAAAATTTTTTGACTTTTTTTTCCCTGACACCTAAAGAATATTCTGATTCACTCTAAATTAGATACTCAAAAAAATTATTCTTATTACATTTATTTATGATTTTCTTTAATTGAATAATTATTTACAATTAAATTTTACGAAATTTCGATTATTCGGAAATTCTACAATTAAATGTGTATTAGAAAATGAAATGAAAACATTAATTAAACTTTTTTAAAAAATTAATTTTATACAGAATTGTTAGTTAAAAGTATGAAAAATTCAGATTTTGAAAGATTTTAATTTGAAACTTTTAGAAAATTCAATTATTTCTAAAAATTGCAATTATCAGTAACTTCAACAATTATTATCAAATTCAATTATTATCTAAAATAAAATAATTTATTGAATAATTAAATGTTTCTTAAAATTGGATTAATTTAATCAACAAATTTTTAAAAATTTGAATTCTTTAGACAAATTTGAATGGAATTTTTAAGAATCGAAAAATGCAATTGCATTTTTCGAGAAATTCAATTAAAATTGTATTAAAAATAATTGAAATTATGAAATTTTTATTTTTTTTTGGAAAATAATTGAATGTACGTGTAGAATTTTATCAAAATTTTTGTTTAATAATTGAATTCTTTTGGAAAATTTTATAAAAATATAAAATCATTGAATTAAGAAACATTGTTGAAAATAAGTGAATTTTACAATGAATTTTATTAAAATTACTGAAAATAATGGAATTTTGTCAATGAATTTTGATATTCATAATATAAAGATAATTGAAATGTTGACAATTTTTGAAAATAATTGAATTTTTGCGATGAATTTGATTTATTTTGAAAATAATTGAATTCTTGTGATGAATAAATTGTTATTTATGAAAATAATTGAATTATTGTGAACAATTTAATAAAAAAAAGATTCAAATAATTGACTTTTTTGGGAAAAATTTAGACAAATTTTATTTTTAATAATTGAATTCCTGTGAAATTAATTAATATAAAAAAATAATTAAATATTCGTGTAGAATTTTGTAAAAATTGTTTAAAATAATAGCTATATTAAAAATGATTGACTTGTGAAAAATTTTTGAAATTAATTAAATTCTTATGATGAATATTATTATTTTCGAAAATAATTGTCTTCTTCCGAATAAAAATATTATTTATGTAAATAATTAAATCCCTAAAAGGAATTTTAAAATTTATAAAAATAATTGAATTGCTGCGAAGAATTTAATGCCAAATTTTAAAATATTTGATTTTTTGGAGAAAATTTATGCAAATTTTAGTTTAAATAATTGAATTCCCGTGAAATTTTTATTTTTTTGACAAATAAAAACTTTTGAGAATAATTGAGTTCTGGTGATGAATACTATTATTTAAGAAAACAATTGAATTTTTAACAATAAATTTTATCAAATTCCTGAAAATAATTGAATTTTGTCGAATAATTTCGATATTCATTTATAAAGATAATTTGAAATGTTGACGATAATTTTAAAAAAAAATTTTTAAAAATAATTGAATTTCTGCGCAGAATTTTATTGTTTTTGAAAATAATTGAATTTTTGTTATAACTTTTGTTATTTATGAAAACAATATTGAATTATTGTGAACAATTTTATGTAAAAAGTTTCGAACAATTGACTTTTTTTTGAAAAAGTTTATTTAAATTTTATTTTTAATAATTGAATTCCCGTGAAATTTTTATTACTTTTAGAAAATAATTGAATATTCGTGTAGAATTTTGTCAAAATTCCCGTGTGGAAAAATTTTAGGGCGCTGACCAAGCGCTTAATAGACTGTCTAACGTCTTTCTAGACCCAGGGCAGACGGTCTTGTCGAGCGGCTGTTCAGAATTGAAACGAAACTTCCACGCTATCGTCTAGAATAGACCAGCGTTTCTGGTCTGATCAGCAGTGCTAGTAAATTCTAATCTACGTCTATTCAAAATTTCTCATTATATGTTATGACAACTATTCTTAGAATAATAAAACTTAATTATATTTGAAATAATTTTAATGACTTTTTTTTATATAAAAAGTATTAAAAAATATTTTAACTTTCTGTATTTTTCACTTCAACTTTCTTTAAGCGTAAGGCTTTGTGTCCCTCCCAATCTTTGGCATTGGAGATAGTAGTCTTTTTGTAAAATAAAATTTACTGCAAATCAAAACAGCCGGATGAAACTATCAGTCGTACTCAGCACCAATCTTTAGGCGTCAACCACTAATTAATGAAATTAATAAATAAAAACTTACTAAATTTGCTATTTAGTGAATATTGATTCTCAAATAACAATACTCGATGGTTTTTTAAATCATTAAGTATTACAAAATTTGAAGGAGAGGCATATTTGTAGATGACGCCTAAACATTGATGCTGAGTACGACTGCTAGCTTCAGCCGACTAATCAAAACACATAGAAACACATCAAAATCTATTTTTTTCAGTGCACATTTAAAATTAAATTATACAGAAAACAACAACAACATAGCACATTATTATTCACGTAAAACAGAAACCACAACAAATACTATAATTCACAAACAAAATGCATCACACACTGACTGATCTAACGACGCCAAACGACGCGACGCCATTAGGCGCCATGTTACTTAACAGCTGGGCATTCATCGACGCATGCGCATATAACATCCTAGACCAAATCTAGACGGTCTTAATAACACCGTACTAGACGGACATATTTGACTTAGATTTTTTCTAATAAGCCAATCTGTTAAGTCACTGATTCGGGACTTGATGGACCGTCTAGAATTAGACGGACTTGATGATTGCTAATCGGGAAATCATTGGACTCTAGACTGCCACAATATTTTTCCACACGGGTTGTTATTAAATAATTCAATTCTTTTGGGAAATTTTATTAAAGTAATAGATTTACAAATTATTGAATTAAGAAAAAATTTTGAAAATAATTGAAATTTTGCAATGAATTTTATTAAAATTTTTGAAAATAATTGAATTCTTGTGATGAATATTGTTATTTATGAAAATAATTGTCTTCCTCCGAAGAAAAATATTATTTATGAAAATAATTAAATCCCTGTAAGGAATTTTAAAATTTATGAAAATAATTGAATTACTGTCAAGAATTTAATGACAAATTTTAAAATATTTGACTTTTTGGAGAAAATTTATGCAAATTCCATTTTATATAATTGAATTGCTGTGAAATTTTTATTTCTTTTTAAAAATAATTGAATGTTTGTGTAGAATTTTATCAAAATTGTTTTTAAATAGTTAAAATTTTTGAATGAATTTTATTAAAATTTTTCAAAATAATTAATTTTATTACTTTTGAAAATAATTGAATTTTTGTGATGATTATTATTGTTATTTATGAAAATAATTGAATTACAGTTGACGAATTCTGAGTTTTTATACAGAACCGGGAAACTTACGATATTTGCAAAAAGCATAATATATGAAATTTGTATTTGTAGGAACCCTGCAAATTATTAAAAAAACTATATTCTAATATTATGTAAATGTTTCAGTATTCTACTAAGGACTGTACCTTTAACTGCAAAATAGTTACTTACAACATTTCTGACGAATTTATTAATTTGTCTCACGTCGAAATAATAAGAATCGAGGAACTATTAGCTCCTGATGGACATTCTTGCAACAATAGTGGAGTAAGAAATATTTGTGCAATATTTCTTGACATAAATTTTACTCAACATATTTTTCTCAATGTTTCTTCTCTTTCAGTACTGTCAAGATGGTAAATGCATTAATAAGAAATTTTCTCCTGATATTATTATGGATCCTTCCGTCGATGAACGGTATGGTGAATTTGTATCATCCATTGAACGTTGTAAACAGAGAGGAATGAGATGGGTGCTAGATGTAGGTATTATAACAATAATAAAAGAAACTGGAGATAATGGATTTATTTTTGTCAAATTCTCGTATTCTTTATATATTTGTTTTCCTCATTTCTATAGTATAAAGACAGATGCGTTACTCGATGTGTTGATAATAAAATCAAAGGAGGTCATTATATTAATGCTGATACGGGACTCCCTTGCACTAACAATGGAGTATGAAACAATTTTACAGTACCCTAAATTTCTTAATATAAATATTATTTAATAATAATTAATTATATTCAATTAGTGATAATATGCAAACATTTTTGACTAATAAACATCTTTAACCGTACAAGGCCTCTTAAATAATGAAACAATATTATTAAATGCTTTCTTTTTTCAGTTTTGTAAATATGGAAAATGTGTTAATCAAAAATTAAAGAATACAACTACTGCTTTGAATAATTCACATTCTAAATTTAAATCTACCATTGAACGTTGTCAAGAACTTGGATTTTCTTGGGTTCATGATGTATGTATTTAATGAATTAAATATTCTTAAGCGTCAATTTTAATTTTTCATGTGCTTCATTTAAGAGTTGCCATCGGTCAGAGAAAAGTCAGTGACTTTTAATAAAAGTACAAGAAAAAATTAAATCCTTAGAATTTATAAGAAAATTATGAATTTTTGTATCTTTTTGTCTGCTTCACAACCTATTAAATTACTACGAATTCTAAAAAAAAACATTCAACTTTTTTTATTTCTAACAATAATTTACTTTCAATAACTTAATTCCATTGAAGAACTGCCATAAAGTTCTTACTTATAAAATAATATAATAAAGTATTTTTCTTTTAAATTTTAATTTCAATTCTGTTAAAAATAGTTGCAGTTTAAAAAATTTTAACGCAATTCTTTAAAAAAATTCAATTATTTTAATAAATATCAAAATTCTTTCAGAAATTCAATTATTTTCAAAAATTAAAAAAAAATTCTCGTCCACATTTCAATTATCTTTATAAATAGCAAAATTCTTCGCCGAAATTCAATTATATTCCGGAAATTTAAATAAAAAAAATTCATTGTAAAATTCAATTATTTTGATAAATAACAATATTCATTACAAGAATTGTAATAAAAGTCATTGTAAAATTCAATTATTTTCTTAAATAATAGTATTCCTCACAAGACTTCAATTATTTTCAAAAGTAATAAAATTCAATTATATTCAAAAAATTTTCTTAAATCAATGATTTTCAATATTCTACTATATTAATTAATTTTCCCAAAAGAATTCAATTATTAAACAAAAATTTTGGGAAAATTCTACACGAACATTCAATTATTTTACAAAAAAATAAAAATTTCACGAGAATTCAATTATTTAAACTATAGAATTTGAGTAAATTTTTCAACAAGAAAAAAATCATATATTTGAAAATTTGGCATTGAATTCTTCGCTGTAATTCAATTATTTTCATAAATTTTAAAAATCCTTTCAAGGATTTAATTATTTCCATAAATAATAAAATTATTCGGAGGGAGTCAATTATTTTATAAATACCCATATTTATCACATAAATTCAATTATTTTAAAAAATTTTAATAAAATTCATTGCAAAATTTCAATTATTCTCAAATTTTTTTTTTTAGTTCAATAATTTGTATATCTATTACTTCAATCAAATTTCCCAAAAGAATTCAATTATTCAAAAACAATTTTGACAAAATTCAATTATTACAAATAGAATTTGCATAAGTTTTTTTCGAAAAAAGTCATCAATTTGTTTGAAACTTTTTTATAAAGTTATTCGCAATAATTCAATTATTTTCAAAAAAATCTAAAAAAAATGTCTTCAACATTTCAATTATGTTTATAAATGAATAGCAAAATTATTCGACAAAATTGAATTATTTTCATGAATTTTAATAAAATTCATTGTAATATTCCATTATTTTCATAAATAATAGTATTTATCACAAGACTTCAATTAGTTTCAAAAGTAATAAAATTCAATTATTTTTAAAATTAATGATTCTTCTGAGAAATTCAATTACTTTCAAAAAGATAAAAAAAAATTGTCGTCAACGTTTCAATTATCTTTATTAGTGAAAAGCAAAATTCCTTGACAAAATTCAATTATTTTCAGGAATTTTAATAATATTCATGGCAAAATTCAATTATATATTTATAAATAATCTTATTCATCACAATAATTCAATTATTTTCTTAAAAAAAATAAAAATTCCACAGGAATTCAATTATTTAAAATAGAATTGGCATAAATCTTTTAGAAAAAATAGAATGTTTTAAAATTTGTCATGAAATTCCTCCCAATAATTAAATTATTTTCATAAATAATAAAATAGTTCGGAGAAAGTCAATTACTTTCATAAATAACAATATTCATGACGAAATTTCAATTACTTTCAAAAAATTTTCTTGCTGTAATAATTTGTATATCTATTATTTTAATAAAATTTTCCAAAAGAATTCAATTATTTAAAAATAAATTTGACAAAATTCTACACAAATTTTCAATTATTTTCTAAAATAATGAAAATTTCACAGGAAGTCAATTATAAAAAATAGAATTTGCATAAATTTTTTCGAAAAAAAGTCAATTTGTTTAAAACATTTTTTTTAAATTCTTCGCAAATAATTCAATTATTTTCACAAATAATAAAACTTATTGAAGAATTTCAATTATTTTTAATACAATTTTCATCGAATTCCTCGAAAAATGTAATTATTCTGAAAATTTTTTATTAAAATTCGTCCAAAGAATTCATTTATTTAAAAATTTATTGATAAAATTATCTATAAGAATCAAATTTTAAGAAATATTTAACTATTCAATAAATTGTCAATGTTTGTATTTAAACAAATTGAATTCTCGTAGAATTTTCTAATAAAAACTGATTTAAAAATTAATTTCTGTTAAAGTTTCATATAGGGGAGGGTAGGCTACATTGAACCGGGTATTTTATAAAGTCCAAGAACTAATAAAATTTTACTAATTTCGATCAGGTTTTTGTATCAAAATTAAGCTGAAGTACTCCTTTAGTTAATACACACGTTACAAACACAAATTATTAGGATTAAATAATAAAATTTAATTTTTTTCTAACAAGTCACACTTTTCTTATTTTGAAGGATGTGTGTCTACATTGAACCACCTCTAATAAAACACTACAATTTACTTCAAAAATAATATTTCCACTTACACATTGTAAAAAATCTTATTTTCCACTCAAAAAAATAGAAAATTGTTATTTAATTGTTATTACTTGTTAATATAGGAGATTAATGTATTTTAATGTCAGGTTAGGTAGGTAAAGTGACAGTTTGAGTTTATCTCGTTCACAATTGTGATGAAAGCATGTCTTCCAGTATTTTTCTTACTAATTAGTAGAGCAGACAATTTTACAACTCTTAAAATTGAAAATTCTTTGCTTTTTTGGGTGGTTCAATGATGCCGCACTCACTGTATTCACATGACATTCACAACAAAAATTGTTTATAATAAATTTGTGTAAGATTTAAAGTTCTTTATCACATCGGAATATTGAAGTTGACACCCTAAGCGAAATAAATCGCAAGTTTACTAATTTCTAAAACTTCCTATTTCAATAAAAAAACGTCATTATAATTCCACCAAATTTTTTGTTTTGTACGTGAAAAACAGTTTTTTTAGTTTTTCTTTGTAAATAATAAACCTACGTGCCCGAAATTTTTGGACATAGTTTGTTTCAGTAAAACTAACTTATATATTAAATAAGAAAAAATTTCACTCAGTCATTTCTCAGAAAATTCAAGTGGTTCACTGTTGACGCTGGTTCAATGTAGCCTACTCTCCCCTAATAATTGAATTTTGAAAAAGTTATTTATAGTAATTGCAATTTTAAGAAATAATTGAATTTTGAAAAAGTTTCAAATTTAAATCTTTGAAAATCTGAATATTTTTCATACTTTTAATTAACAATTCTGTGGAATTAATTTCTCTGAGAAAGTTTAATTAAATTTTTTTTTGAAATAATTTGTAGTTTTCATTTTCTAATACATATTTAGTGGGAGAATTTCCGAATAATCTAAATTTCATGTAAAATTGAATTGTAAATAAATGAATTTGAAAATTCTTAAAAGAACTTTACCAAAAATTATTAAAAATAATTTATTTAAAGAAGAATTTTATTTTAAAATTGTAGAAAATAATAATTGAATGGAAATGATGAAAATAATTTTTAAGTTTTAGTAACAATATTCTTAATAAAAAATAATGATTTTATCACTAGGTGATCTTTAATTATTATAAAACATGAAAAAATCGACGATATCTTATGTTTTACAATAATATATTCTTTTAAGTTGTTGAATTTAAAAAATGTTTGAAGTTGAAATTTTGATAATCTTAATCTTTATAATTTTTAAAGATGTTTAACTTTTTTGGATTGTTCTAATATAGTAAAAGATGTAATTTGTTTTTTAAACAATTTTTTAAAATTTATTGATTTTTAAAAAAAACAAATAACATCTTTTACCTTAATCTTTATATTTATTTATAAATATTTAATCATTATTATTTTTCCATAGGTATTAAGATTTTCATAAAAAAATAAGTTATTGATATCTTCAAATAATTTCCCAATTAAATTAAATAAATTAGAATTCTTTTTTTTTTGAGTATCTAATAATTTTTATAGTGAATCATAGAATATTCTTTAGGTTCAGGGAAAAAGGGAAAATTTTGTCTGTTAATGAGGGAAAAATAAAATTAAATGTTTATGGAGTGTTAATAAATTTATTTATTTTTTTTACTTTTTTTAGTATAACAACGGATGCACTACTTATTGCCAATTAACCGACAATGATGATATCGAATATGATCAGGAGTATTTGGATGCAGAAAATGGCTCACCTTGTAATAATAAAGGAGTAAGGAACATTTTTACAATAATTGTTAAATTTGTTAAAATATAAACTTAATTTATCGTTTTCTGTTATTTTCAGTATTGTCACGATAAAATATGTGTTAATATGACAGTTATTACAAGTAGCACAAGTAGTGCCACTAGTACAAGTAGTGAAAGCACTACAAGCAGTAGTATTGATACAACTTCATTTGTCGATAAAATACCCGTCAGGAGTAAAATTATCCGTAAACAATGTGAAGATATTGGATTGACTACATTAAAATTTGTTTGTTAAAGAATATTTTTAATTCTTTATTGTTTAATTTGATATTTTCAATATTGTTTCTTTAATTTTCAATATTGTTTCTTCAATTTTCAATTTTGTTTTTCTTTCTTCAAGTTAAACGATGGATGCATGGCATTATGTGATGATAAATATGGCAATACACATCAGTATTTTAATACTCCAGAGAGATACCCTTGCGTTATTAATAACAAAACTGATGGAGTAAGAAATATTTTACCAATGTGTAAAATTTGTCATTATTTTTATCTAATGCTAAATTTTACCTAACCCATTTTTTTTAGTATTGTCAATCAGGATATTGTGAAGTTCAGTCATTTACTACAAGTACTGTTAGCATTACTGATTCAACAACATCTTTTAATAAATTACCTAGCAATTTAGAATCTCCTGTGGAGCAATGCATTAATGCTGGATACATTGCCTTTCATACTGTTAGTATATTAAATCTATCATTAATTTAAAAAAAAAATTTTTTAATTTAAAAAAAATTAAAAAAAATTTTTTTTTTGAGTCATTGCGGTGAATTTATCTGTAACTTTTTCACATGTATTATAGTTTTACTTTATTTTAGTTCGATAGATTTGACTGTACTGTTATCTGCACCAATGTAACTGATCTTGATTATGACTATGATTATGAAAATGAATATGAGAATGATGAAACAAATACTTTTCAAGATTTGTCTCGACCAGATGGAATTGCTTGCAAATACAATGGAGTAACGACAAAACTTTTCCCTATTTTTTAAACATAATTTTGCATAAATTAAAAATACTTTTATTATATATATTATAATATTTACTCATTTCTTAGAATTGCTCAAATGGACAATGTGTTAATATGTCGCTTATTGATCCTAACGACAAATCAACAAAATGGGATTTCGATGCATTAAAAGGTAAGTATTTTGTAGTCAAAATTTTAATTCAAAATCTTGTATTATTAATTTTGAAAAATCATTTTTAATAGTTTTTATATTTATTATATATAGTTTTTCAAAATAAAACACGAAGGGTAATAAAACATGAAGGAGGTGGAAATTATTCAAAATTATTTAATAATGAAGAAAATAAAAAAGAGAATAATGATTCTATTGGTTAGTAGATAGTTTAAAAAGATTTGTTTCAATCTTATCATTTTTTATCTGACATTAATTTAATTTCATCTTTATTTTAGATTTGTCCGATATTGACGACGATGTCAAAGAATTTGCAAAGGACATTAAAATATTTCTGTAGAATATTTTCATTCTTTCATAAATGATTTTCATGTGAAAAGAAAAAAAAATATCTAAATTAATTTTCTTCAGCAATAAGCAAAGAAAATGAAAGTAGTAAAAAATAATTGTTTCAAATATTTCTCCGTTTCGAAAACTGCTTTTTCGATAAATGTGTATGTAATATAATATATAATATAAAATATATAATATGTATTTGTTTGTAATCGAAAAAGTGATTAAATAAATTCAATATTTCAGAAAAGATATAAATGTTGTATTATTTATTTGTTTTCCTTTATTTACAAAATTTAATTTATCTTCATAAAATATGATTATGTAGTAATATTAATTTGTAGTACATGTTATTCGATTTATTATTGTTATGCAAATTAGAAAATTTTTTATTTTCAAATATAAATTTTAAAATAATTTCATAATCAAAATTTAAAAAATTCACTTATTAAGTACAAAATTAATTATTATTGTTTATATTTTCAAAAATTTCAATATAATTCTTTGCGAGAATTCAATTATTTTTGTAATTACTATAAATTCTTTGCAGGAATTAAATTTTTTTAATCCAATTCTAATAAAATTATACGACAGAATTCAATTATTTTCAAAAAATAATAAAATTCATCTGATGAATATCTACAATTATTTTAAATTTATGCATAATTTTAATAAAATTCTTTACAAAAATTCAAATATTTTCAAAACAACTTTTAATGAATTTCTCGAAAGAATTTAATTATTTTCAAATATTTCTCAAAAATTCTTCAAAACAATTCAATTTTTCCTAAAATTTTAATAAATTCTGCGATAATTTCAATTATTTTATATAAATAGTAAAATTCTTTGCAGAAATTGAATTTTTTTCAAAACAATTTTAATAGAATTCCCTTAAAAGCATTTAATTATTTTCAAATATTCACATAAAATTAATTTATTTCATAAAATTTTAATAAATTATTTAAAGCAATTTAATTATTTTTATAAATAATAAAATTCTTTGCGAGCAATTCAATTATTTTCAATAAAATTTTAATGAAATTCTTCTTCATAAAATTCAATTGCTTTTAAAATTTTCAATTAAAATAATTAAAGAAATTCCATTATTTTAAAAAAATTAAAAGTAATTCTTCAAAAGAATTTAATTAGGATGTTTAAAAATTTTAATAAAATTCATTGCGAGAATTCAATTATTTTTATATAAATAACAAAATTCATCGAAGGAATTCAATAATTGTATTATTTATTAAATTAAAAAATAATTTTAAGAGAAAAAAAAACATATTAAATTTCAGAAGTAGAAGAAAATTAATATTATTTGAAATTTAGATTTAAGCAAATAAAAAAAAAATTGAGATTATAAATCTAAAACCACTTGGGCCATAAAAAAATTCGAAAAGAAAATCATAGTTTTTCACGGGGATATATACATATATATATTATACAAGAAAAATACGATTTGCGCCAGATGGTGTTTGAAATTTTACAGCGTCACATAAACAACGGCAATACACGTGAAAAATATCAAATCCACCGTTACACTATATATATCGAGGACTTGAAATAAAATTAAAAAGTCCTTATTTCTTTTAAACTTTAAATCACTTTTTCTCAAATAAACTTGTTTTTTGAGAAGTAAAATAAAATGGATTTTATTCTTATCGTTTCATTTGGCAATTTTCTTTTTTATATACGTATTTATATAAAAGTAGAATTTTTCATTTGTTAAAATTATTAAAAACATTTTTCTTATTTATTTTTATTAAAATTATTTTATTATTTTTTAAAAATATTTTTCATTTTCAGTGATTTTTCATTAAACAATTGCAATTACTTTATTGAATTATTATTTTAGTAAATTATATATAAAATTATTTTTTTATTATTATTTTAGTAAATTACATATAAAATTATTCTTTTATTATTATTATTTTAGTGAATTATATATAAAATTATTCGTTTATTATTATTTTAATAAAATTAAAAAATTACTAATACAAAAAAATTTTAATGAAGATAATTTTTACACCACTTGTGAGAGAGATTTTTTCAATTAATTTGAACCATTTTTACCGCTTGTGGGAGAACTTTTTATTGACTTTTTAAGGAAATTATTTCATTAAATTATGTTAATAATAATTAATATTATTAAGATTATAATTATTTTATTAAATTATTATTTTAAAAAAATAGTTAAAAAAATATTATTATTATTATTATTTTAATAAAATTTAAAAATTACTAATTTAAAAAAATTCCAATGAAGGTAATTTTTTTACACCACTTGTGGGAGAGTTTTTTTAATTAAAATTAAAAAAGTTCTCTCACAAGCAGTAGAAATTAGTTAAACTATTTTTTACTGCTTGTGAGAGATATTTTTTAAATTAAAATTTAAATGAAGAGAAGAACTTTTTATAGTTTTTTTTAAATGTATTTCTATTGCAAACGAAAAAAATTGTTAATTTTAATAGAAAAATCAGAAAGTAAAGAAACCTTTTTTAAAATAACTATTTTTATAGGAAAATAATTTTTCTAGTTTTCATTGCAATGAACATTTATATATATTATTTGAATGAAATGTAAAAAGTTTTTTTTTTTCTTTTAAATTCCAGTGAATAACGAGTACATCTAAAATTCTGTTCACATTAGGCATAGTCTCTGCATTCTATCAAAACAGGAGACTTTTTAGAATTTTCGAGCTGAAAATTCATTGGCAAGTGTCCAGCTTTAAAAACTGGAACTGCCTTTTCTTTTAAAATGCATCATATTTTCTTCTTCTTCATTCTCATTTTCTTGTTTATTTTAGTATCAAAATTTCCTTTTTTTCTTTACATCAAAACTTTGCTCTTTTCGTGAAAAAAAAATTTGTTTTAAATTGTTTGAAAAAACTAACTAAAATTCGAAAGATAATAAAATATTTTATATTTTTATTTGTGAACAATTTATTTTTTATTTTATTTCGAAATAAATAGAACATATTATTTTTTATTTCTAAATATGTAAAAAAATATTTTTATCTTATTTATAAATAGAAAAAGTTTTATTTTTAATAAAATTCTGATAAAAAAATATAAAATTACTATTTTAATTTTTTAAAATTATATTTTCTATTTTAAATTCTCTGAATTTATTTTCTGTATTCACTTTCTTAAATTTACTATTTTCATTATTAAACCACGATTTTTATTATGGATTTCAATTGTTCTAAAAATATTTATTAATATTTTCAATTCTTTCTAAATTCATATATTTAGAAAAAGATTTTTATATTTAATTTTAATTCTTTTAAAGTAACTTATTTTTTTTAACTCTTCCTTACTTTACATTTTACTGGGATTTTTGTAAATTATCTTCTATCAAATTTAATTTTTCTAACATTAATTTATTTTCTATTTTAATTTTCTTTTTCTAAATTTATTTTTATTATTTTAATTTGTTTCATTATTGTTAATACTAAATTTAATATTTTGCAGCTGATAATTATTTTCTCTATTAATATTTTTTAATTTAATAATTTGAATTTTATTTATTTTATTTAATAATAAATTATTTATCAATTTTTTTATAGTCTTTCTTTTTTAAATTTATTTTCTTAAAGATTTTGTTTCTTCTACTGATTTTTAATAAGTTTTTACCACTTTCTTTAATTTCTATTTCAATATTTACTTATTACTTTATTTCCTGCGTCTTTAATGTTTCTAAATTAATATAATTGTGACTTTAATTACTGAAACTTGTTTTTAAAATTTATTTTTTAATATATTTATATTATAATTTATATTCAATATCATATAAAATTCACTGAAAAAATACTAAACTAAAGAGATTGCAAATATCTTTCATTAAAAAGCAATCTCGATTCAAAAAAGAATAATAATGCCTACGAAAAGCGAGATTTCAAAAAGAAATATTAACAATTCTTTTTTTGGGGGTTATCATCCAGTGTAGAATAGTTTGTACTCTCTCGTTGAGTACACAGCTTGATATGTTTACGTGTCATACAAAAAACTCCTTGCTCAAGGGCTATGCACTCAAAAATGCAACCCTCACTACACGAATGTAAACAAAAACAAAAAAAGCAGAAAAGCTCTCTCTAAACAAAAATTTCCTAGATTATCTAAACTTTAAATTTTGCATGAAGAAAAAAAAACAAAAATTGTAGAGAAAAAGAAAAAAAAAAGATTATATAAATACTCACTTTATACGATTGTAGACTAAAAGCTCGGAGATTTCACGTCCCAATCTCGAGTAGAGTGTCTCAACAAATACCAACACCTTGGGATCAATTCTGAGACGAGCCTCGCTTCGATGATCAGGCGCTGTTGGTAGTCGTGTTGCACCTCTCAACGTTGAACACCTTATTGCTGGCTCTGGTCTCGTATTCAAATGAATTAAACTGAAACACAAAAGTTAAGAATATTCTGTTAATTAGAATTTCTCCTTAACGACAATCTCGAAAATCCAAAACAAATTCACGACAATCGAGAACAAAAAAAAAATTTTTTTTTAATTTATTAATAAAAAGGCGGATATTTTTTATGGCCACGCCTTTTTCGACACTTTACCACGTCCCTCGGAATGTAGGCGTGGTAAAGTGGGAGGAGCGTAAGAATAGTGGGGAAGTAGGCGGAGTCTTATGATCCACCTCATTGTCCACGATTCAGCCTCATTTGTTATACTAAAGAGACCCCCCCCTACTTTTACATTTGACACACCCCTTTACAAGCTCCGCCCCTTTTTCAAAGAGGAAACGAAGTATATTACCTTAATAAGACGAGTGGGATGATGGACTCCGCCTATTTTTTTAATATTTGACACACCCTTTTACAAGCCACTTCCCCTTTTTCAAATAGTAAATAGAGTCTCCTAAAACTAAAAAAAATAATAGACCCCGCCCAATTTTACGTTTGACACACCCTTTTAAAAGCACTGCCCCTTTTTTAAATACCAAATGGCACAAGTCTCTTTCTTATCTTCTCCTTTTTTCAAAAGGCATGCCGAGGGGGTATTTTAGAATCCGCCCATTCGACACACCCTTTTTCAAGCTCAGCCCTTTTTATGATGAAATAAAACATTTCACGTTAAAGTATACCAAAATATTGCATCGTCAAATAAAAAGTAAATCTCAGGGAAAGTGTAGGCGTGGGTTAACGGGCTTATGAAAAATGTAGGCGTCGACAAAGTTGTCTCGGGGAAAGTGTAGGCGTGGCTTAACTGCCTTATGAAAAATGTAGGCGTGTCCTAAGTAGTCTCACGGAATGTGTGGGCGGCGTTTAAGTATAAATGGTAGGCGTGGCTTAATTAGAGTCTATCGAAAAATGAAGGCGTAGCCTGAGAATAGCCCCCACGAAAATTGTAGGCGGGGCTTGACTGCCTTATGAAAAATGTAGGCGTGTCCTAAGTAGTCTCACGGAATGTGTAGGCGGGGCTTAAGTAGAAATTGTAGGCGTGGCTTAACGGCTTTATGAAAAAGTAGGCGTAACTTAAAAACAGCCTCACAGAAAGTGTAGGCGTGACTTAACTGCCTTATGAAAAATGTAGGCGTGCCCTAAGTAGTCTCACGGAATGTGTAGGCGGGGCTTAAGTAGAAATTGTAGGCGTGGCTTAACGGCTTTATGAAAAAAGTAGGCGTAACTTTAAAAACAGCCTCACAGAAAATGTAGGCGTGCCCTAAGTAGTCTCACGGAATGTGTAGGCGGGGCTTAAGTAGACATTGTAGGTGTGGCTTAACGGCTTTATGAAAAAAGTAGGCGTAACTTAAAAACAGCCTCACAGAAAGTGTAGGCGTGGCCTAAGAAGTGAATTATAAAGATAAACGTACCTTATAAGAAAATTTTTACTAAAAACAAAAATAATTATAAATAAATATAATTAAATTGAAATTCTGCTCCAGTGGAAGATTAGCAAAAACTAGTTCAAGTGAATAAAACATAATATTGAAGTAGGAGAATCAAATTTCATGTACAACGCTTGTGAAAATAAACCCAACTCTCGTTAGCAGTAAATCAAAAGCAAAGAAAGAGAGGGAGAAATAGAGAGAGAGAGAGTGAGAGAGAACTTCTGTAGATTCCTGGGGAAATTTTAGGCGTTGATGACCTGAATTAGTAAATAGTTTGTATGTATGTGTGCGGGTATTTTGTATGGCACCATAAAGCGCTTGATTTCATATCCCCTTTGACTTTCCTCCCTTTGTCGGACTTCCATCATTAAAATCCTATAGCTCACGCGCAAAATATATAGAGAATTTCCTAACTGCGCAACGCTCCAAGTTAAGAATTTATACACGAGCACTAGGTATTTTCAGCATTAAAGCGTAAATATTGAAATGTCAATGGTTTATACTTAAATTATTCATCAAATTTACACTATCAAGTTAGCACACTCAAAAGATGTGGTTTTTTGTTCTATCTTCATTTTTTTTATCCTCCTTTACAAAAAATAATGAAAAATAAAGCAGAGAAATAATATCAATAGTTAAAAAATTATTAGAAAAAATAATAAAGAGTGGGAAATTAGGGGAGAAGGGAAAAAAAATTTCCCACACTGCGAGATTCGAACCGAGGGTTAAAAATTACAAGTCGAGTACTCTATTCTCTAGGCTAGAAACATTAAAATTAAAAATATATTTTAACTAAATTTTTAAAAAGGCACATTTACAATAAACGAAAAACAAAATATCTTCGTTCTTCTCCCATTACTTTCACAACTCGTGTGTGGCATGTAAAATAAATACGTCAGAATTCCGTCTCCTCAACGATTTGGGAGTGAGAATATGGAATGGGAGAGAAATGCCGAGGGTGGGGAATTTGAGAGAAACGTCGTGTAGGACGATAATATTCGCGTTAACTGCTTGAAGACACGCAAAAGCGCCTAAAGGCGATGCCTGTATATGATAAATTACACACACACACAAATGTAGACAACAAACGGGCGGCAATGCTCGACAATTTTCAAGCCAATCTTAATGTTTCACCTTCAATACCGGCACACGACATTTGCACACCGAAAATTGTTCGCCATTTTTCTCCTCAAGTCATATCCGATTATACAATAATGAAAATTATCAGATGCGAGGATAATGGGATATAAAATGCCGTCAGTGAGCGAGAGAGAGAAAGAGAGAGAAGATTATGACTTGAAGTTATTTGCAAAACGAAATGAGATTTCAAGTTAATGGCAAAAGGAAAATTAGATTCGGTTCATAACCTTAAATTTAAGTTTATAACGTATAATTCGACAAATGGTAGATTTTTTAATTGTTTTTTATAATGTATTACCTCGCTCAATATTTGAACTCTGTACATATATTTATTTATAATATAATAGAATAATAGACCCCGCCTTTTTTACCACTGACACTTTTATAAACTCCGCCCTTTTCTATAGATCAACTTAAGTATATTATTTGCCTAAAAAATCGAGTGGGAATTATAGGCCACGCCCTTGTTACACTTGACAGGTCTTTTATGCTCCGCCCTTTTTAAGCTTCACCCTCTTTAAGCTCCGCCCCTTTAAGCTCCACCCCTTTCAAAGAAGGGGCCCCCTTAATTTTCTTGAAGTTCGTATAGAAGGCAAGTGTTATTTGAGACTCCGCCCATTTTCACTCTTTTACAAGCACCGCCCCTTTTCCAAAGAGTCAGACATGCATGTCGCTTTACAAAAATGTGAGGGTTTCGCCTATTTTTTTTAACTGAAGAGGAGGCACGTTTATTTTAAAAGACGAGTGAGAATTATACACCCCGCCCATTCCTACATTTGACATACCATTTTGACAAGCTCCGCCCCCTTTTTAAATAGGAAGTGCAGCATATTACCTTAACAAGGCGAGTGGGAATGACAGACCCCGCCCATTTTTACATTTGACACAACATTCTTCAAGCTCCGCCCATTTTTCAAAAGGCAAATTAATCGTGTCTCTACAAAAAGGCAAGTGAGAATTATAGACTCCGCCCCTTTTTAAATTCGATACACCCTTTTTCACAAGCTCCGCCCCTTTTGCAATTAGCAAATGAAGCTTTTTCAAATAGCCGATAAAGAATGTTACATTAAAAAGGCGAGTTGTTTATGTTAGTTTTTCAAAAATAAATTTTGACAGATGACAGCTGTCAAAAATACTGTCAAACTTTTGACAATGAGCATTCAAGTATTTTATTCAAGTATTTTACATTAATTTAAATAGGTTTAAATATTTTCTAGACTACTGAGATTATACTAAGTAGTAACATGTCTTTTTGACAGTTGACAGCTGTCCAAAAAAACTGTTAAACATAGAAAATGTTAGTTTCTACAAAATTTTACCTTTATTTTCTCAAGTAGAAGTATTTTTCAAATTACAAAGATCAAACCGTATAATGCAATGTTATTTTGACAGATGACATCTGTCAAAAATGCTGTCAAATTTTTTAGAAAGAGATTTTTTCAAGTATTTTACATTAATTTAAATGAGTTCTAATATTTTCTAGACTACTGAGATGAAACAGAATAGCGGAATGTCATTTTGACAGATGACAGCTGTCAAAAATGCTGAATTAGATTTTTTGAAGTGTTAAGTGTTACTCAATTTCAAGTGTTTTTAAAACACTAAAATTAAATCAATTAGCAGCATGTTATTTTCACAGTTGACAGCTGCCAAAATGCTGTAAAACTTAGAAATAAACGATAATTTTGAAGAAGTTTACATCAATTTCCTCAAACACGAGTAGTTTTTAAAATACTGATATCAAATTTACAAGAGAAATGATATATTGACCATTAATAACTATCAATACAGCTGTCAACTTTTTGAAAACAAGAGTTCTTGAAATACTGTACAATAATTTACACCCATTCAACTGTATTTTAGAAAACTTCGATTAAACCGAAGAACTAGATGTCATTTTGCTATTAAGGTTGGTTGGATTTTGGTTGATGGCCTGTTGTCACCTTAGGTCATTTTTGACAGCTGTCATCTGTCAAAATGACAGTCCACTATTTGGTTTAATTTTAGTAGACTAAAAAATACTTTTATTCGAAACAATAAATCTGAAATTTCCTATAAAATATTATTTGCTAAGTTTGACAGTTTTTTTGACAATTGTCAAAAAAAAAGGTTGTGACTCAGTTTGATCTGAATAGTCTAGAAAATACTAAAACTTATTTCAATTAATGTAAAATACTTAAAGGAATCTTTTTTTCAAAATCTTGACAGCATTTTTGACAGATGTCATCTGTCAAAATAACATTGCATTATATGGTTTGATCTTTGTAATTTAAAAGGTACTTCTATTTCAGAAAATAAATGTAAAATTTCTTCAAAATTGACATTTTCTATGCTTGACAGTTTTTTTAGACAGCTGTCAACTGTCAAAAAGACATGTTGCTACTTAGTTTAATCTCAGTAGTCTAAAAAATAATTAA